TTTTTTTTTTTGCTTTGCCTACAATTTGTACTTAAAATAAGTGGAGAGCTTTTAGCTTTTTTAAAAGTCTTATTCATATAATCTATAATTTGGTTCTGATGTATTCATACGTATATGGCGTATTCCACGTCAATTTGGCTTTTAAATTTAAGTAGCCAAATATTTTGAAGCGTTTCTTGCTTTAAAGGTTAAAATGTGGTTTTAATGTGGTGGCTCCGTGTGGGGCGAAGGTCTTGAAGATTTGCCAGATACCCAACATTGGTCATATAAGCAACATATCAAAAATCTTCCATATATCGCTAAAGGATATTCTGTTAAATCCTTAAAGAAAAAGCGAAAAAAATTTCCGAAAGAGTTGCTCTGCCAAAACGAAACATTTGATTTCTAGAATTTTTGTTCTATGCTGCTTGAAGGTATCTGTTATTTTTTCACCGCTATTTGCAATGAATTATTCGAAGAAAGGGAGTTTATTTTTCTGCAAAAATTAAAAAAAAAATTTCAAGTTTTTACGAAATTCAAAAATTTAGAGTGCAGACATTGAATACTCGTACAAAACTTTATTTCTAAAGAATCTACATATGTATGTATGTTAAAATAAGACGAAGCCAAAATGTTTATCGCAGATCGATTTTAAGCCTAATAAGTAGGTACTACTTGAAAATTTAGTTTCCCATCTCGATACATACTCCAATGCCAAGTGTCAGTAAGCGGCCGCTGTGGCCGGGTACTTAGCGGTAAGCTCTATCATACGGTAGAAACATGGTTCGCCCAACATCCAAAAAGTTTTTTTTTGTTTTCAATACCAATCGCCCGTAGGCAAACAAAGGCACTGAGTGTATTTTTTCATAGAAAACCATCTGCGCTTGGGTGGCGACGTAAAACTTTAGATCCATTTTTGTGATATGTTTCGACCTTTCTTTCAAATATCCTCTATAGTTTAGAAAAAAAATATTTTACTTTAAACTTATCTACACAAGAAAAATTTTATTTTGGTTGTATATTTTTTTTAATATTTACATTAGACCGCACCGCCTTACAAGCAACAAAAAAAGTTTATCGTAAAATCCTGAGTCAAAAGTATCTTTGCAAGGCAATTAAAAAAATATATATATACTTTTTCGTGCCACCTACATTTGGCGGTAAATTAAAAATCGAATAATAATCAAAAACTTGCTTTGCAAAGTTTTAATGATTTTTGGAGAACTTTGATTTGCAGACATTAGGGTGGTAGGAACTGAAAACAAAATATTGTCTCATCAAGACAAGAATATCGATACATCTTAGTTTAAGATTCGCCAGTAAATGCCGAAGAAATGGTAAAAAAGTTCGGACAAAAAAAATTTCGAAAACATTTCAGGGCCAGGGTTGTCACTGACGAAAAAAAATACTTACCTTCCATTTGGAAAAAATCTACCAAATCTGGGAAATATCTACCAATAACGTTTTTTTAGTTATTTTAATAAAAATTTAAATTGTTCTTAAGCAACTTTTAATTTAACTAATTATACCTTCAACCAAAAGCGAAAGTGATGGAACTAAAGGTAACAACGTAACTTCATCATTTAAAAAAACTTCAACTGGAGTTATTATAGACAAATACAGTGACTCAAAAACGCTTGGAGAATTTTTTATATTTAGAATGTTTTTCAAGTGAAAATTTTTTTGGTATTTTATTTTGTGTAAGAATATTTTTTTGCCGCCTGTCTTGTTTTTTTTTTTCATTTAACAATTGCGTTGATTTAAATTTTTTTTGCGAACAATCACATATACGCCTGCACATTTTTGCTTTTTATTTAAATAATCATTGAAAATATTTAAAGCGCTCGAAAATTAATTCAATAATGTAGACTACACTTTTGGAAAGAAATTTTTAATATAAAGATAACTACGAAAAATACAGCGAGAACGAAAGTTTTGTTTGTATTTTAAACAAAATAATTCAACAAAAATCTACCAAAATGAGAAAAAATTTACCTTTTTACCAACCCAAATTTTTTCTACCAATTTTGGTAACAATTTACCAAAGTGGCAACCCTGGTTACGGCGAACTGTTTTCTGGTATGCTCTACTAAGTATATATGTATATAGCATTTATGTCTAATTTATTATCTTTTTCGAAAAATCGCATCCGAACGTTTTTAAAGAATGTCATCTTCCACAATTTAAAGAATCTAATCAAAAAAAAATTTTAACTTTATCATAAAAAAAATGCTCCAGTTTTAAACGTGCAAATATTTATGGGTTCCGTTTCGAATAAGAACCAGTTAAAGAAGCCGCCAAATGAAAACAAAATTTCCAAAAAAAATTAAAATAAATAAATCAGCTGTTGCTGAGGCTAAACAGCGGGGTCACGTGACTGGCGTACAAACATAATTTATACTACATTTACTAAACGCGAGAGCTAAGTCAAAGCGTCAAATACTTAAAAGGCCAAAAAATACGAGTGCAATAGCAACAAATAAGGATTTCTAGCGCAAAAACTGTTTTGCATAAAAATTTGATTGGCGCATGCGCGACTGGCAGTATCACCTCCTACCTACAATACTTGTGCTCGACGTCGCCACTGTTGGCCGTGAATATCAACGCCAACAACAAATTGCGTAGCCTAACTAAGTACGTGATTTGCTTCGATTTCCATTGCATTTTAAGCTTCTGCCATTTATTTGCACACCGGAATTTTGGGGAATTTACCGCTGCGATATCAGCTGAATAAATGCCAAACATTTTGTAGGAATTCGAGTGGTGGCAAAATAATTTTTGAATATGCAGCTGTCAACTGGGGGAAAAAAATCAGAAGGAATTTTGCAAATATCGCAATTTGTTTTTATTTAAATTTGTATTTATGTACATATTTGGTATTTTATTGGCTCATTTGCCAAATTTGTGCAAGATCTCGTGCTCCGTGTATAAAAGGCCCAATCATGGCAGCACTCTTCAGTATATTCGTCTGCAGACGCACCGTAAGCGCACAACTTTAAATCTTTGTCAAAGGAATATTTCTACAAAACCCTCTAAAAAAATGTTCAAGCTGGTAAGTGTAAACAAGGATTTCGCTGCTTGCAAACTATCAAAGCTAAGGACCTGTATTTCGTTCCTCTTTCCAGTTCACTGCCTGCTTTGTTGCGCTCTTCGCCGTCGCCTTCGGTGCTGCTAAGCCAGCACTCCTGGCCTCGCCTGCCGCCCTGGCGTATTCTGCTCCATTGGCAGCTGCGCCTTTCCCTGCCGCCTATGCCGCCCCAGTGGCGGCCGCCTACACCGCCGGCTATGCGCCTTACATCGCACCATATGCCAGCAGCTTTACCGCTCATGGCGTCGCTCACTCTGCTGCATTCCCAGCCGCTTATGCTGCTGCTGCTCCATATGTAGCCTCATATGCTGCTCCAGCTGTTTTACCATCAGCACGATTTGTCGCTCCTGCGGCGCCGTTAGTTGCTGCTGCTCCAGCTCCGCTCGTCGCCGCTGCTCCTGCCGTTGCTCCAGCTGTAGCTGCTGCCGCTTTCCCTGTGGTGAAAAAGTAAAGTTCTAAATTTTACGTTGGATTGTTAAAAGCGAAGTGCCCCTAAAAGCGTGAAAATAATAAAAATTACATAAATTGATCTGAAAAAAGTGGAATTTCTCTGAGTGACGTGGCGAATTATAGGAAAATTGTGGTTTGGTTTCCTAAGTAGCAGCTGGCTTTGTGTTTGCCTCAATATTCTATCCCTTGTGAAAGGTTTTAGCGTCAACAATATAAACGAGTCGCTCTTTGAAATCTCCTTCGTAAATTACAAGATTATTTGCTTAAGCTAGCCTCCATGGGGATTATAAAGTCGCTATCTGCGAATATGTAAGCAATTAATGGAGGTGTCCTCTCGGATCCTAGTTCTTTTTAATTGCACCGAGGAGTAACCGAAACTCGGTTCCAAAAGAAGCAGCGAAAAATGGTTCCGGTAAAATCCAAACTCGATTCCAAAAGAACTGGAAACGAGTTCCGGAAGAACCGAGACTCGATTCCAAAATACCCGAAAAACGGTTCCGAAAGAACCGCAAAATGATCTCAGAATAATCGAAAAAAATAAGTAAAAGAACTGAAAACCTATTACAAAAGAACCAAAAAAGGATCCTACTGAAGCACAAATCGACCACGAAGCACACACTGCACTATGGACAAAAAATTTATTGGTTTGACATAAATACTATAGAGTTCTGAGTTGACCTACCAAACATTGTTCGATTCACGCCACTATTTATATCGACTGCTGAGTGAAAGATCGACCTATCTCGGCAGCCAGTTCGAAAACGTCCTATCTCAAAAAACTTTTCAAGAACACCCTATTTCAGAATTTTATTGAAAAACACTCGATCCCACATGGTACCCGCTGTTGGTGGCAGAGGAAGAGGAATACCTCGGCTGCGTTGGGGAAATGAGGTAGAGAATTACTTGGCTTGACTTGGAATTTTCCATTGGTGTCAGTTGGCACAGAAAAGAAGCGATTGGCATGCTATGTTGAACTCAACTGAAATGACTTGGCCGCTGTAATGTAGTCAAAATATAACGAGACATGCGAGTCTTTGTACTTTGAAGTGGTTCCTTCGTTCATCAAAACCTCCGTTAGAAATTGGAGATAATTTCATTCAGTGAGAGATCAGGCATCAGACATATGCATAGGATCGGCGCCGCTTAGAGCCTCATTAAATCTTTTTTTTTTTGTGGCGGCTAACGACTTTTTCATTTGTACCGAAAAATTTTGCCTTCTCCGTGCCCTCTACGCCTAAATACTGATGAAAGGCGATTTTTTTGTAAAAAGAAGACGCCATAATTCACTGTCACTTCTTTTGGTATGAAGCTTCTTGAAAGGATATCTTGAGATAAGATAGTACCTTTCTTTTTTAGTTGGCTGCATAACTTGGCTGAAATTGTTATTTAAGACTATAGAATTATTTTCCTTGACCAGAACTTTGAATGATCCTGACTCTTTCTGCTATATGTATGTATGTATAAAATAAAATAAATGAAAATGAAAATGAAAAGAAACAAAATTTTTTGTTTCATGAATTAAAGCTTTTATTTATTTATTTCTTTTTTTTTTTGAGTTTTTTATATTCATTTTATTTTGCATGGAAACTTTGAAGGGACGCGTAGAATTAAGAAGAAAACTTATAAGATAGTACAGATAAAGCCGAAAAAAGTATAAGTTATAAAAACAAAGCAACAATACATATGTATAACAAAACAAAGCTAATCAAGTCCATAAAAATGTGTCATCGCATATATTCCTTAAGTAACGCCAGTGTCATAAAACGTCTGCATAAACATTAACGCAGGAAAGCAGTAGCATATGGATAGCTGTAGGCAGAAGCATAA